ACAATTAGAGCATCATTGTTGTAAATAATAATAATTGTAAATCGAACATTTCGATAGAAAGAGCATCATTTTACTATATTTTAAATATTAAATGTTAATTATAGTAATAAATATTTTAAATATTAAATGTTAATTATAGTAATAATATTTTGATATTTTAATATTTAATAAAATATTTTATTGTGATTAGACGGTTAAAATAAACAATTGCTTCATGATGTTGTTTGTCATCTTTATCAAAACAAACATGGAAATCTTTTAGGTTAGAGGTATGAGGTATAGGAACAATGTACATTATATTATTTCTTCATAATCTAGATCTGAAATGTTATGCAAAAACATTATTTATCATTATTTTCTCATAATATTTCCTGGCGTCTCGTTTTATCTAATACATGAACACTCATTGCATTTTGTAACTACACTGATTTTTTCCCCATAATATCGATCTTTAATGGTTGTTATCGATTTCGATTGAATCGATTTATATCGGATACGTCTGGCATGTTGTGCTCAGACGTACACCTACAGCAGAGGACGACAGAGGCAGCGATTGGGCTGAGGGGGTGGGCTGATCCGACAGTTAGTAAGTGATCCATTTAGACATTTTATGTAAATAAAATTAGAATTTAGAGTTTCCAACGCAAATCGAGATTCGGCTTAATATCTGCTTACACTACGTAAGTAAAACATATATGCATATTTAATATATTTTAATGTTTACGTAGCAAAGTTGAAAGAATATTCCGTAGCTCAGTGGAAAACGTTGCTTATTTGTAAAAGATTTCAAATAAGTTTCAATGAAGCACATTTTAAGATATCTGTAGTTCTGATATTCGTTTTTAAGACGGTCGCATTTTACCAAGATGTGGTTCGTCCTGAGATTTCTGATGGACGAGAAGGCTTCCATATAACTGAGATTATTTAAGTAGCAGTCATAGTGACTTGAAACACATGTTTCAGGATGATGCCCTCAGATCGTGATGACTTCCAGGCAATCCTCAACTTACTTGAATGTGAAATATGCAATAGACCTACAAGTCCTCCTATTGTTATGTGCGAAATCGGACATCACATATGCCATGTTTGCAGACCCAACATGCAGACATGTCACACCTGCAGGTAAAACTGTATATAGCTTTTCGAACCTTCTGGAATAGACTTCTGGTCGGGAACTTGCGTACGACGTGCCAGTGTGTTACTGGACGTATTTTCACGAAAATTAGCTTCAATATCGTGTCATTAGAAGCGACTATATCTTTGTACATTTTAATTTATTACCAAAAATAATACCAGTATGGCGTCCGTGCGCATTTGTGATGTAGCGGTGACATGGCACGAGTCAAATTAGGTATAATTTTGAAAATATGCAGTTGTTGAGGATTTATTTTCTTCCAAGAATGTAAACAAACAACATGGTATCACCAAAAATGTTTTCTGTATTAAAGGCACAGTTCAGTTTAGTGTTTCATAAAATCAAGCTAACACGAAAGCCCGACACCGACCACTGTCCTGAGCCAACTCCATCCATTTGCCATTCTCACAGCCAACCTCCCTAAGATCCGTGTTGATATTATCCTCCCATCGCCTTCTTGGTCTGAACAGTGGTCGTTTTCCAGAAGGATCCCCCACAATAACTCTATATGCACCTCTTGCCTCCCGTGCGTGCTACATGTCCAGCCCACCGGAGCCTCCTAGAGTTCACTATTCTAGGTGACCCGTACAATTCACGCAGAACCTTTTAAATTCCCCACTTGTTTTGTACCCCCTAGGTCCAAATATCTTCCTGAGCACTCTGTTGTCAAACACTTGTAATCTACGTTCTTCCTTCAAGGTAAGAGACATGTTTTATAACCATACAAGACAACAGACAAAGTTATTGTTCTATTTATCCTGATCTTTAGTGTTTTTGGATACCAAACGGGACGGTAACAGTTTTTGAATGAAATAAAAACAAGCTTTTCCCAAACGTATTCTAGTCTTAATTTCAACGTGGACATAAGCAGGCTCGTTGCTAATAATTTAATACCACGAATAAGCGTAATTTTTGAACTGAACTTTCGGGAAAATTTATAGAATTGTAACACGAAGTAGACACCGATTATTTGTTCTCGACTTAACTCAAAATCAGCAACAGAAGAATTGTATTTAATCAGTCTGCGTATTGGTGAGGATGGAAAGTGATTGGTTGTTTGTGCCACGGTGCTAGCCTAACGATGACCACGTACAGATGGCACTGCAGGGCTTCTATTGTTTATATGGTGTTATTATCTGGGGGATGGACAAAGGGTCCGGTAGAAGCCCAGTTTCACAGAGACATAGTCTCACCCCAACGCAAAAATAACAATAATGTGACGTCATCAGCGCTGCTAGGTAATTGTGCTGAACGAAATATATAATTAAATTGTTTTTGTTGATATTCTGAGTCACATAGTAATTACTGGACCTATAATATTCGCTGCTCATATTTTTATAAAATTTTAAGTATTATTGTTACAAATGGTGTGGAAATCAAATATGCCAACATTGTAGTGAACAGCCACGTTTTTATTCGTTCTCAAGAAGAAATGTACGTGTGACGTCATACAGAATGCTCAGGTGCATGAAATGACATGTTGATGTGTAAATTGTACACATAAGGTGATTATAAACACTTGTTTTCTCAGTTAAAATTAGCATTAAATTATATAGATTGACAAATAGAGTTTTGATAGACGAAAGTTCTGTATCTTCAGTTTAAACAAGAATATACACCTTATAAATTTTTTTTTTAACATTTGGCTTGGACCAGTGGTATTCAACCTTTTTTGTTCGTGTACCTTGAGCCACGGTGGTCTAGCGGTTAGAACGCTGGCCTTGTAATCCTGGGGTCTCGGGTTCGATTCCCGGCGGTGCCCGAATTTATAACTTGTGTTGGGCAAGGCCGTGGTCTAGGCAACACGGAGTTTTCCTACGGGGGCTTCCCCGGTTTCTCCGTGGCATCCCAACAATTACCCCATTCACACACAGAAGAAGGCAATGGAAAACCACTTCTGGATCATCTGCCAAAA